ACTTATTCGTCATTGACGGACTTTCATGAAACTATTTAATTAGTTTGATCGGTAATAGGTTTTTTTGCTCATAACTTCATCTAACCTGTTAACTGAAACAAGGAGTACTTTGAATACTTCTTCTTGGCATGCGTGTAGCGTTAACAGCGACTTCCTTTCGTCTTTTTATCAATTCACCTATAAATGTTAATAGTTTAGCTAGATGTTGTTTCGACTTTTATTAAACCTCTTGACGTCAACATTTTAGCCTTGAGGATCCATAAATTGATAGTAAATATTAGCAAATTGTATTTTTAATTCTAATTTCCTTTCCCCGAATTCAATTTTGATAAAAGTCAATCTGCTTTGAAAAATCATGCTTAACGCGTTGATGACGGTGGATATGGAAGACATAGCTGCATATTTAAATAATGTAAAGATATTCAATTTATATTTGTTCATTTAAATGATTATCAATTTTGACTAGAAAACGTAAACTGAACCGTAACATAATGTAAAAGAGGAAAAAAAAAAAGAAGGAAAACGAAGAAAAATTGAGGAATAATCTCAAATAAGGTAAAATAGTAAGAGAAACGACGTTTCTTTCCTTTCAATACAGAAATCCTTAATTTACCAGCTATAAGCTTAAATACCAAAATAATCAAATAAATGTCAAAGGAATGCCGAAAAAAGAACAAATTCAAATGTTGCGAGTCGGTAATGTGACGGCATCATAAGTCATCCTACGATTAACTTTTTCCAGCAATTGTTGTCATTTGAAATTTCAAAAGCACCTTTGCTAGTAGAAGAGCTAACAAAAACAGAATAATAAAGCAAAAGAAGAGAACATAGAAGCAAAGATGCGAAAAATAACGTCTATATCCGTCTCGTGCACCTGAAGTGCATGATGTTCAGGTGAAAAGCTTTGTGGCAGGCAACAATAGATAATACGATTATTTACGTTTAGAGCTTAACAAATCAAACCGACAACCGACCGACATACATTGTGAGTACATGATGTATCTAAGTTTTAAAAGGCAAGAAAATAACGTTCAGCTTAAATGTGCATGGGACGGCATCCACGAGGAAATAAGTAAGAAAGTCATACTTGCCTTAAGGCATCACCCGTTACGTCAAATGCATTCTGGCAACAGTTTAAGCGGAAGCATTCGGACTGTGAAATTAAGGCTGGCCCCGGGCCAGGTTTTAAATCGTTCGATTTACTACTAGAGCTAATCCGGTTTTACATATTATTTATCTGCCTATTTCTGCCAAAAGAGATTGCATTGACTCCCTTTTTTTGTAGAATTGCCCCAGTGGGCAAAGCAATGATCAAATTAAATATAAGATTGAAAAATTGGAGCGATTTGCTCACATGCAACACGTCTACAATCAATGATTGAGTTGACTGATTTTATCGCGCTGTGATGCCATCACCTATTGCCCTACCCAACTAGCTATCTAACTTGTTTACCTGAAATGGTATTTGCTTGCATTTTCTTTTTACAGTTACAACTATAAGATACATAATATATTAGTTATATTAGATAACATGGACCACAAACACATAAATTAGTTCTAAAGTCATCCGGTACTTCCAGAAAACTGGATCAACTAGGAAGAAATTAAAAATCTTTTCATATCAGCAAAAGTCGATAAAAATTTTAGAAAATTACACTTCTTGATAAACATTTCCTTGAAGCTTGAATGTTGAAAACAATCAAAATGGCGTACGCGGTAGTTTTAGTGCTAAGCTATAAATTATGGTTGAAATGATTGTTCATAGACGAAAAAGTCATCAAAAAGCTTCTTGTATTTCAAGAATTCCATGGGTAGATTCAGACGTGCCGTACGATCACATCTTTCGTTTAGTGGGATCAGAACAGTATGGTCTGTTATTAGGTGTTTAAGTCTAGTGAAACGGTTAATATCAAATGCTACAAAAAACGAGCGAAATTTGAAAAGAAAGCAAAAAGAGATGATTTTCTTACATGACATCAGTCTATCAGGGCAACGAAAATTCTTCTTACTAGCGTATGTTTGGGGGAAGCACTCGCTGAGTAGCGTTTCATTTCTTACGAAAAATCTGAAAAGAATCACAACTTTTTTGGCATGACGAACACAAATTGTCCGTCAGAAGATAGGTGGGGCAAATTGTATAGCTAACGAACGATAAGCACGACTTGGAATGAAATTTTTATTTTTTCGCTTTTTCAGACAAAAATTCCGCTTTCCGCATATGCTCATACGTGGTATAGACTTTATGATGAATATTACAAATCCTTTGATGCTAAGTGATAGGTAAAGAAATCCGCATTATTTGTTGCTACACCTAATATATACATTAAAATTTTCCTGCTCTAATTTTATTTATTAATATAGTTTTTATTGTTTCGTTTTTTTTTTTTTTGCAATAATTTTTAGTGCCTTTGTTTTATTTATTTGCTACAAATTTTACATACATGTATTGTGTATCCGGTTACGTGTTTGCATTGACATTCAATTTCAAATTGCACACAAGCATTTACATATGCTTATATATATATATATATATATATATATATATACATATAGCTATGCATGTAAGCATATATTTACAAGACTTTATCAAATCTCTTGTTTAGATAATTAAGGCATTTGCGCAAAAAAAAAAATAAATAAATAAATAATAAAAAAAAATAAGAAATGTGGAATAAGTATTAAAATCATACAATAATAGCGCATATATACATATATATGTGATCTAGAGAAGTCAATGTTTCTTAACTACATCGTTTATAAATTGAAATTTAAAGTTTGCCTGAATGAAATTTAAATCAATGCAACAATCGCTTATTTTCTGATTTCAATTTTGATTTGACATTAAAATCGTTCACGCCGTGTCTCCGCAAAATGTGTACGAATTAACTTTTGTCTTTTGCTGTGTGAAAAAAAAATTTTTAAAAGCAAGAAATAAATAAAAAAAAGTACCTACCTATCATACAAAAAAAAAAAAAAAAAAACTCCTTAAAATGATACGAATATAAAAAGCTGTAGTCAGTGCTACTAAAATAGTTTAAATTGTACAATACCCCGATAGATGAATGGTGAGTCATGGGGAAAATTCAAAAAGATTCCCAAAACACCAGGAAATGTGTGAAGGTAACAGCAGCGGTAACAGCAGCAACAGCGACAACAACACTACCAACAACAATAATAATATCAAAATGTAGTTTAATCGCAGTCGAACACTGTGAAAACAGGTTTAATGTAAAGCGAACAGAGAAAGTATCATTGTTGCAGTAAAGTTCAATGCATTGCAATGCCGAAAAAAAAAGAAGCAAAACGAAACAATAGGAAATTTGTATAAATAGGGAAAATATTTCCCTTCAACATCTGCATCTGCATTTATCGGGAAAGTAACTGAAACCGATTGAATAAAATTTATGTGTAAGCGAAAAATTCGGGTTTGCATTAACGTTTGAGACATTTTTTTTTTTTTTCTTAGAAATCATAATTACTGTGAGTGACGGTGCACGCGGTGCACTTTGTTAAAGTTATTACACAAAGATGTTCTCTAACATGCAGCGTTTTATCGTCTACGGACATATTATATAACTTATTCGTTGAGATTTCCTTTGAGTTGGGTACTCGCTGGGTCGTCTTATCTCAGTATCTTTTATATTTGTTTTTTGTATCAATCAGTTAATAGCTCGTTTGCATTAAACGATCGTGAGCAAAAACTGATGTATTATTTATTGCTTTGATGACAAGTGGCGGAATGCCGTCGTTATGTCTTATCGAAGCTTAAATAATAGTTGTAGCCATAAATATGAAGACTTGTTGGTGTGTGCTTTAAGTGCAGATAATAGATAAACAAAATGATTTTATGCATCTTGGAACGATATATGGATGCCAAACATCTCAGGCAAATACACTTGTAAAACAATTTCATAGTTTGTTCGTTTATCGATCAGGATTAGTTAGTTAGTTAGTTTTATGATAAATCACAATTTCTTGATAGAGATAATTTAAAAAAAAAAAAAAAAAAAAAAAAATTATTGTCTTCTCGTTTCATCAACCATTCGAGAAATGTCGTCAATATATGTTAGAAATGTTAGATAGTCCAGAAGGATTGGTAGGTGGAAGAAGATGAGTAAGAAAAATGGGGAAATCTGTGTTTTTTTAAGGTTATGAACGATTTTCTGGGCAACAGTCAGCGACTGACATTCATTATCGAACTGAATCGGTGAATAAATATAGAATATATGTTATAGGTTGGAAATTTTATGCGACCGCAAGAGATTGCGCAAATGGGACGGACATCGTCTTCCCAAGCAATGAAGCATATAATGATTTCTTTAGGTAGTAGTCTCTGGTTGTGTAGTAGTGTATGGTGTTGAATGTTACAAACGAAATGCCAATGCTAGTGAACCGCAGTGCATGTTTGCCGCTGAATATACATTATCTTATTGAAGGGGCAGTTTTAATCGTAACATTGCATTCAATAATAATCTTGATGAATGAATAATGTACATATAAATGCAGTTCATTACAATCGCAAAAGGGGCGGTGACCACTTTATCCATCTATTTATTGCAAACACAATCAGTTTCGCTTCTTTTTTTCTTTTTAATTTTAATACGATTTTTCATTTTTTTTTTTTTTTTTTTATTTAAGAGAGGAATAAAAAAGTGTGAAATTTATAATTAATACACCTACACAAATTTATAATGCCATTTATTATGCCATAGTGCCGAAATAAATGTTAATTTGTAAAGGGTTCGATTGACACATGACAAGAGACATTTACTTTCACTCTTCGATTCATGTGTCGATCGACGAATGCGAAACAATCTATTGCATGCATGCATGCGCTATACGAATGACAGGTAAAAAGCTTTGCGATACGAGGTGCGATGTGAACGTAAAGAAGCAATGCGCACATGATTTTAAACATAATAAGCGAAATGAATTGCAAGAGTTTTTTTTTTTTTTTTTTTAAATTTTATAGAAAAATTTTGTCTTTTGTTTATTTACAGTTACACAGCAGTTGTTTTGAACAAACGTGAAACCATGAAGAGTATTATTCGTTTTATTCGTAGTTATATTGACTTTTGTTTAATATATGTGGCAAGTATTTACATACATATAAGCGCGTTATCTATTTAAAATCTAATCAATGCGATTTCGTATATAATTCTCAGATATTAGGATTCATTTCGTTTGCAGTAAGTACAGCGATATCGTCGCCATCTTGTGGATTGTATGGTGCTCCACCCTGCCGTTTCCTGCCAGCACCGCCGGGCCAAACACCATCGTGCGCTCGACCGGGTAAAACCTATTGCGAACATATAGATAACTATCCAATGTAAGTTGTGTATGCGTTATAATGCTTAATCCATGAAAGTGTTTTTCGTATGGCAAAGTATGTCCGATCAAATGCGTGTAATACATTAAAAATTCATAAGAACGCTAGCGTATGCTTTAAGTTACTTATCGGGGATACGAAATATTTTTAAGCGCTCGCGTAATTGAATTCCATCCTCTTATCGAAGATTTTCAAGAGGACACATGTTCAAGTTTTGTTTATGCGGATAGGTGCGATAGGTGCACTCCAAAAGATATCATGATCGTGCTATGCTTAATGCTTTCTAGTTATTTGTTTTCACAGTAACAGAAATGAGCAAGAAGTTGAGGTCACTTTAACCATCCATTTACCAAATCAAACGTTTCTTCTTCTTCTTCTTCTTCTAATTATTATTATTATTATCACCAAAGGTAAATTATTGACAAAAATTAATTCAGAGAAAAGAATTTCACGGATGCATTAGTCAGTAGGAGAGAATTTTCCCCCACCAAGTTTGACTTACTCCGAAAGTGTTTAAAACCATGGGAATAATCAAGTACTTGGAAGTTAGTTAACTTCCGCTGTTGTATTACCACCCATATGTTTTCAAAGGTGTTGCAATACGCAAACTTTTAAACCTCACTTACCTTTATCAAGTGCTGTGAAAATATGTTCAAGCCATAGTCATTGGTAGATTGACCCGACTGAGCCACTCGCCACAAATTGTATACTTTGTCGAGTGAAAACTTGAAAACGAAATGAAACAAATATCGATAGCCGAATTTCGACAGCAGTATTAGAAAATGGAGAGCGCTTTGTAATGGCTTCCGAAGCATTCTTAATACATGATATGTGCTACGGTCTCCGATATCCGAAGACCTCATTCACTCGTGCAAGAGCAGGACAAAAAGCAAATACAGTTAATGCGAGTTAGTGCGAGTTAATGACTGATGCCTCACAATTGTCTTAGTGCAGTACACCCAGTCTAACCTAACCCAGCCGAAATATTTATACATTAATATCCGTTAGGTTTAGAAATGCATTTAGTTTGCATCTTTAAACATTTCCCAAGGAGAATGCTGAGAATTTCGGAAACGTGAAGTGTAACGATGTAACGATGTAAAGTAATTGCGAACAGAGTTTGCGTAATGCCGACGACAACGTTATTTAGGTTAGATGATAAGAAAAAAATGTTGGAGTTTGTAGAGAATTTTAAAAAAGATTTTTTATTTTTTTTTTTTTTTTTGAAAAATTTTCGACAAAATTTTAAGGTCGGTTTTATTAATTTTTTATTCATTTTCATTACGCAATGGCTTTCATAACGTTCAAGTTGTCAAGTTGTGGAAAAAACATATCTACCTGTCTAACCGTAAAATACAATAAAATCAGTTGTTAACCCGAAAATGGTGATAAATTAAATTGCTTTCGCCTTTAGTTCCCACACGCATATATATGGCGCATACGAAAACAAATGGGAAGTCAGACAAGATAGAAGCATGCGTGCATACTGAAAATGCTAATAACGCATTCATTTTGATGATGTCTGTCTGCTTGGAGTGTTGTCAAGAAGCCAGTTGTTAAAACATAAATTTCGGTTTTAGCCCGAAGCATAGCGCATTTGCATACAAAGTAAATATATACATAACCGTCGACGATGAAATTCCACAATTTGTTTTGAAAATGATAATGATTTGTTACTTCTGCGATTATTATTCTCCGTTATTATGTGTGCTTGCTGCTAGAGCACAATAGGCGCGCCAGACTTTTCGTTACGTTTCTTTGCTTATTAAAAACGACTTTCGTTTTTTTTTTTTTTTTTTTTAGAATATTAAAGTATTATAAAATATTTGTGGAATGCAGGTGAGAGGATATTCAAGCAAATGAATCGACCGCTGACCGCTGTTAACTTTTGTGACAGCTCTTCAAAAATTGATTAGTGCTTCATTTAACTGCTACAGGTCTTCGAAACCCGCTCTTAGCTAAAGCATAAGCGAACTTCGACTTCAGCCTTTTAACATAATTCTCATTATTATTATAATTTTTTTCTTTTTTACCGTTTATAAGGTTTATACGCCAAGAGTGTTTGGTTGATCGTGGTATCTCGAACTGCCGGCTTTGGTGGGCCGATTTTCAAAAGAGTTATAGTTTTTGAGTTTTTTATTTTTTTTATTTTTTTTATTTTTTTTTGTTTATCTAAAGTCGTAAATATAGCACATATTTAAAGTTATTTCCCTACAGTCAATGTTAGCGAGACGCGATATTGTTTTTACCTTGACCCACTAAACTTGACTTGTTAGTTGAATAATATAAACAGCAGAAAGAAACAAAGATAGTGGTGTTCAACAAAGTTTTCTCGAAAAAAATTAAGCTTAACATCTTGTTATTTTAAAGACTTATACGAAACGAGTTAAATAAAACTTTACAAAAACCATATAAAAGATATTCAAAAGATAGCGGTAAGAAGTGTAAAAAAAAACTATGCGTACCATACGTAACGCTTACGCTAAATGCTTTTCTTTCTAATTTTACAAATAAAAACAATTTAATAAGCACCAGCATTAAGCAAAGCAATAACTCATTTTCTTCAAAGTCCGACTTTTTTTTTTACTTTTCTCTTTAATCTCATGACACAACAATTTAAGGCACGATAACTGGCCTTTTGAACATTTCTAAGCTGAAGTAAGCCTTAAAGCGTCGTCAGTTGTATCGGCTACAGGTTAAGGCGAATTATCGATGAAAATATATTAAAAGTAGTGTTTATCGGTAAATCCAGCCTCGATTTAGAATATAAAATCATATCGTTACCTGTTTCGTTAGAGATTTGAAAAAAGAAAAAAAAAAAACATCTAACAATGGGTGGATTCTTGGATCGGTTTGATTGATTTTCAAATTAATACCAATGAGAGCGAAAACAGAAACATGTGAAGCAAAATCCAGATTTCGAATCGCCACTCGTCATGTACACAGACCTGCTCATACCTAACCCGAGAGACGGACATGGCTATTAGGCTATTTCTGCTGATAAGTTACATATCCTATAGCAGGTACAGGGTACGTCTTTATATGCATTACAAATATTTAGTAATACAATTGAAGCCAAGACATGGATCTAAGCAATTGGCTCTCGCCCATTCGGTATTTACGAGAAGATGTGCTCTGTGTGCCTCTTTTTAGGTTATATGATAAACGCGCATGAGTTTCACGCACTTCACGTACTCAGATGTAAGCACAAAACAATTTGAATGAACATGAATGTCAGCTACGCCTCAGTGAAGATAAATTAAAAAAAAAAAAAAAAAAAAAAAAAAAAAAAATAGCTCACCACTAAACTATCTTAATCCAGGTAATTCGTAAATTTTGGCAATTGACAGATGAAATTTTCATAAGTGAGCTTGTTATTTAAGAAGTCGAAGCCTGCCACTGATTAACCTAAAGTTGACAGATTCAATTCGAAACCTCAACGAGTTACGACGCCTTTTTGCAACTCAGCGCCTGAGCTTTGCTTGCTATCCTTCGACTAGAAAGTCATGAAAGCTTCAAAATTGCTATGCACTTTCGCTATAATTTTTTTATTCTTTTTATTTATTTATTATCTACGTATTTTGTAAATAAATTTAAAAAGTAAGGATTTCAAGGCCGCCGAATAACTCAAATCATATGTGCCCGTATATTGAAAAATCTACAGCACTTGCGATTTGGACCAGTGACCATTGAATTGTTAGTCGTGGATTCTTTACCTACTCGTCTACTCATTGCTAGTTATTTTTGGCCATAATAGATCGCTATTTTGCGTTCCCTTTCATCCAAAAAAATTGAACTCGCTTTGGCGCGATTTAAATCATGAAAAATTGCGACACAAATATATACATATTTATATATATATATATATATATATATATGCAGTTGTACAATAGCGAATGCTTTAATAGTTGATTTAAAACAAATAAT